TATGGAATTTCTGGCTGTACATCTACTGGAGGGTTATCTAAAAAAAAAAAACAATTCAAAGAATGTAACGAGTTATCTATCGATTGTGCATTGAGAATCAATTCTTTAAAAAACTAAAATTTTAAACTATATCGTAAATTCTGAAAATGTATATAAAATTAATTTTAAAAACTCATTTTAAGATGATGATTATTTTCAAATATCGTTATTAAATTATATGTACAATTTAAAAATTATCCACATTTTATTTTAAAACTAAATTATTATTTTTTTTTAATATCATTTTAATTTTCAATTTTCTTACAATTTATTTTACAATTCAAAAATATTCATCTGTCTTAAAATTGTTTTTGTTTTCTATAAATCTAAATGATAAATCATTTTGTTAATTTGAGAATTATTAAATATAAGTTTAAATTAAATTAAATTTTTTTAAATATTTTAAATCATGAATTATAAATTAAGTATATGTTTTTAAATTAAATTATTAAATTTTTAAGTTTTTCCAACTAAATTATTATTAAATTTAAAAATTTTTTTTTAATTATTTAAAATTAAATGATGAAAGTTAGTATTAATTATTGGTACTTACAATCATTATTTACTAAATTATATCCCGTTGGAACACTATTTTGTTGCTGAGAGTGGTCTAAAACAGAATAAAATAAATAAGATTATACACGTGGTGTATTGAGGTTATATATATATAATCCATGATCAGTATAAAATAAAAATCAAATTTATTGATTGAAAAACATTGAAATATTAGTTTATACTTAAAACAGGATTAAAAAACATTTACACTTACCATTTATTACACCAGTCACATTAACACTTATATTTGAACATCTATTTTGATTGTTCAATAATTGTTTTTTTCGCGCACGAAACTCGCGACTACGTTCTGTTGAACTTTTTCCTGGATTTTTTTTAATTTTAATTTTATTTTCATTTTTTTTTTGCGTCGATGTTGACAACACATTTCGGCATTAGTTTTCGGCATCTTATAAAATTTATTATTTAGCACAACAAGATATAAAAATACTGACAAACACACTGTTAAAGAATAACAAACCACGCTGACATCTTACTAAAAAGCTGTAATACGCAGCCGCATACAGTGTAAAGTAGTATTAGCTCACGTACTTTTCACATATACTAACACACGTTAAATGCTCAAATACAAGCAAGTATTAAACAGTGTGCTCTCTCGCTTTGGCTCACTAATTACAGGCGACTATGCTTAGAAGACGGGAGTGGGGACGCTACGAAGTATGGAACAAAGAGGAGAGACCGATAATATAAAATAGTGTGTATATTTCTGTCTCATTCTTTACCGGCTTCATTCTACACATTTTTGTATTTGTGTCTCTTACCTGTCGCATTTCCGTTGCATCAGGTTTGAAATCACAACGATTCTAAAGAAGTTTCACTTCAAAAAACCGTAAATATTACTTAAAATTATTATTGTCCTAAAATTACAAAATTTTTGCTTTTTGGAGATTTTTAGCATTTTCAAATGGGATTTTCTATGAGTAAGTTATTCATCAAAGATGGTCAAAGGAGTGTTATTTGACAAAGGAAGGAACGTGAAACGACGGTAAATCGACAGTGACACGACGATGAAACGACAGCAAAACGACGGTGAAACGACGGTGAAACGACTTTGGATTCACTCCTATTTTACTGTGTAACAAAAGTGCTTTGACTGTCAAATAACTATACATTTATGAACTTTTTACAATGGTTTCACTCCATAGTTGCCATATAAAAATGTCGTTTGAACCATTTTACCAAGGTCTAATGATCTGATATATACCATATTTTGACAGTAGTGAAATGAAACAAAGTCACCAATGTTTCACCGTGAAATCACTACTGTAATACTAAGTTCTCACTGTTGACCATAGAGGGAACTACCGACTTTCCATAGTATTTTCACCGTGACCACAAAACCGCCAGGGATAATGTTATTGAGATGAGTTTTATGAACGTGGACTTGGCGCAATTTTTTACAGTGAAACTGTTTTTGTTCAGATATTATTTTTCATAAACAGAATTGAAATAACTACAAACAAGCTGAAACTATACATGATGGTATAATTACTAACTATTTTATCATCTGTTAAAATTTTTTTTTAGTTCGACCTACAGAGGGGATAATACTACTCGCGGGAAAATTCAAATTAAAAACGAATAATTTTTGTTATGATCTAAAGAATTTATGGGTGACATGAGCGCTTAAGGCATGCTTATTTGAATTTTCCAAACTTTTTTTTATTTTTATGAAAACCAATTACAATTCTTTCGGCCCCTCAATTAACAAAATTAAGTTTGGCCTAAAACAATTGAAAAATACCTGAAACTCTATTATTGTTATTATCCAACGATGACTGACACTCCGGTCCGGCTTGGCAGGATCAGCAGCTTGGTGTTTCGTCGTCTTGAACTATGATGCTGGCCTCCAGTCAGGGCTTGTCCAATTCCAAATACCACGACAAATTCCTCAGTAGTTGCTTCTCGATTACCAAAACCTCACTGTACTGATTTAAACTGGCTCAAAACAAAGTTCACTGATCTAAAAGGCAAAAGGCCACTGGCTTCCAGAAGGGAAAAAGCCTCAATGTCTCTTTTTTTGGCTATTTTATAACCCCGAACTCAGGCTCTCGAACTTTCTTATTGTTATGCCCTGCTTCATTTTTCGGGGACAGTAGTGGGGATTTTCGATTAGCACGCCCGGTGACAAGTCGAAACTACTTGTCAAAAATCGAAAGGTAAGGGATAGCCCTTACCTACCGTGCGTTAATTAAGTGGTCGATAATGACCCCGGGAAGTTCGATTTTCCCTGTTCCAAAAGAAAACCCAAAAAAGTGTTTTTTTCAAATAACTTCGATATTTTTTGGAATAACTTTTGAAAGGCTTTACTGGTCAACTTCAAAAACTAATCAACTGTTAACATCAAACAATCACGTCGATTGCCGTCAAGCCGGTCAAAATCGGTGAATTCGTTCAAGAGATATCGTGAACGAAAGAAAATCTAAAAAAGTGTTTTTTCGAAATGACTCCGAACTTCCTTGTTTTATCAATCCAAACTTAAAGATTCTTGATGAGGCTGAAAAAACACCGTCGAATGCTGCCAACCGCGTGAAAATCAGTTAATTCATTCAAAAGTTATTGCGGTTTGAAAATTCAAAAAATATTGTTCTATGAAACTCCTATCAGTCTTTTGAGCTCGAAGAGCTCAAAATAACACATAATTTGTATTTTTAAGCTCGAAGAGATTAAAAACATCATTAGTTCAATTTTAAGCACCTGAGTATGAAATCAGCGGGAAGTTGCAGGGATGACCTTCAGGAACTACCGTTTTTCTAATTTTTTTAACTTCCCGCTAAGAAAATCGAAGATTTTCAAAAATTAGGAAGTTATTGTGTTTACCCCGTATTGCAAAAGTCGAGATTTCATCAGATCTTGACGTTTGAAGGTCACAAGAAGCTTCCCTGACTATCCCCGCGAGGTTGTCACTAGGTCTGTATGTATGTATGTATGTATGTATGAGTGTGTGTGTGTGTGTTTGTGTGACTCGCTTATAACTTTTGAACGACTGAACCGATCGGAACGTACCAAACGGCGTTCTAAAGAGTTCCCTCAAACTTAGATTTCTTGAGAATTCGAACCGATCCGGACCGATAGATTTTGAGAAATTTTGAAAAATCTAAAAAAAAATAAGAAAAAAATCATTTCTAAAAGTGGTTTTTTTAGAATAACTTTCAAACAGCTTTATCGATCAACTTTAAAAACTAATCCGCCTTTAAGCCTGAAAAACGACGCCGATCGTCGCTAATCCGGTAAAAATCGGTTGATTCGTTCGAGAGATATCGTGAACGAAAGAAAACCAAAAAAAGTGTTTTTTGACATAACTTCGTCATTTCTTCCGGATCTTTTTTGATGATATAGAATAATTTCAGAGCTTAAAAAACCGCATCGATCGCCGCCAAAAACGTGAAAATCGGTTGATTGGTTCGAGAGATATCCTCGATAAAATATTTGGAAACAAGTGTTTTTTTAACATAACTCAGACATTTTTTGAAATAACTTTTAAATGGCTGCACTGATCGATTTCAAAAACTAATCAGCTATTAGCATGAAAAAATTACGTTGATCGCCGTCAAGCCGGTCAAAATTGGTCAATTCGTTCAAGAAATACCATGAACAAAAGAAAACCAAAAAAAGTGATTTATTGGAATTACTCCAAATTTCCTAGTTTTGTCAATTCAAACTTGAAGATTCTTCATGAAACTAAAAAAATTGCGTCAAATACTGCCAACCGCGTGAAAATCGGTTGATTCATTCAAAAGTTAGTACGGTTTGAAAATTTTAAAAATATTGTTCTATAATACTCTTATCACTTTTAAGCTCGAAGAGCTCAAAATAACACATAAATTGTGTTTTTGAGCTCGAAGAGCTCAAAAACATCATTAGTGCAGTTTTATGCACCTAGGTACGGAAGCCTGGTTGGCTCACGGTAAACTTATGAGAATGTGGCGCTACACCGACCCATTTTTAACATGTGTGCTGCGAACCTAAACAAAAGTGTATCGATAACTGGTAAAAATTTTACAGGTGAATTTTTAACTTGTGCACATGTGCACTTGTGAACTGGAAATAGGGATAAAATGGCGTCATACAATAACCCTAGGCTTCAAACCCCGGCCGCCATTTAAAAATGTCAACAATAACAACTCATACGGTAGCCAAGAAAGTTGTTACTAATTATCGCTAAATCTATATATATTAGAGTGGTCCAAAAAAAAAAAGTTTTTTGCCTATCATCTTAAAAGCTTCTTTAAGGCATAAAAAAAATTCCCTTCAAAGCGCCGCTTGATATCTCAATTCTTTATGAAGCTCAATGAATTTTTATTTTCCCATTTAAATAACACGTAAAAAAATTTTATTTACGTTTTCATCCAGTAAAACTACGAAAAAAGTATTTTTTTATTTTTCGTCAATTATTCTAGTAGGAAATTTAATTCTCTACAAAAAAGTACTAAGATAATTTTTTCGTAATCTTAACGAGTAAAAAGTTATTGAGCTTTAAATACTTGCACAAAAGAAAATTTAAACGAAGATAGTTTCAAAGAACTTTTCGAAAACTTTTTTGGTAACTGCATGTATTTATTTCAAAATTTATCAAACTAGACTGTCACAAATATAATTAACATATGTCTTTTGGTGAAGTATTAACTAAGAATTATGAATAATTTCTCTCATTACAATTTGGATATTTTTTCCTATGAGTAGTGATTTTTTAAAATTGAACCTGAATTTCATTACGGAATCTGAATCAAGAGCAAGCTAGTACTTCCGGATGTATACTGAAGTTATTTTTTTTTATTTAAGAACATGTAGGACAGGTAGAACAGGTGTTTATTTAAATTTTGAACATGATGCTGGGACACTACGTAAATAGAAGTCCTTCGTGAATTGATTCTTTTATTTTTGAATTTAATCATTAAAAAAAAAT